CAGAGCAGTCATTCCCTCGGGCCCGTTGTTGACAGAGGGAAATAAAGCGATGGTTACAGCAGCCCCAGCTTCTAAGTCTGGCGGAGAGCCTCAATAACAGTGAAATGATGGAGCATACAGTCTCCTAATTCTTGTTTTCATTTTTTTTCTCCTCCTTCTGGAACCCCACGGTGTCCCTGCAGCTACGACTCAGGCTGCTATAAGTGGAGGGAAGCACTTACAAGCGCTTCCTCCTCAGATTATCGGTGTGGCTGAAACCCCCTTTCAAATCCGCTGCCAGACACGTTCCCAGGGCCCCATGCTCAGAGCTGTCATCTCAGAGGCGGAGAGGTGGGAGGTCTCTCCGGAAACACCTGTCTCTCGTCTCCCAGGGAGATGTCAAGAGACTGTTGAGACGCTGAATTCTCCTCCCGTGGAGGAGGAGGGAGGACCAGCCATCTCCTTCCCAGCTGGGGGGCGGGTGGGGGGAGGCAGGGGCCCCTGCCTGGAAACCATTTCTGACACTGGCCTGTCATCTGCTGAAATGACCCCATTAGAGGGACCCCTTTAAGTCAGGTCATGTGCTCCCGTTACCATTACCGCCCCCCACCACCGGCAACTGCTTCGATCTCACCTGCCTCTGTCAGCTTTCCTCAGGGAGCGTGGGTGAAATAATTCCTTGTCTTGCCATTTTCACGGGTTCCCCCCCCTCCCCATTTTCTGGATACTGCATCTTGTAGGTGGTGGTGTGTGGTACCTGCAGACCCCAGATGGTGAGTTTGAAGCTGCAGACACCTCCTACAGTTGCCAGGATGGATCCTGAACCCAGCGTGGACCGAGCATCTGGTCCAGAGCGCCTTGCCCAAGAAAATGTTTTCCTTTTCCTTCTTTTTCTTTCCTTATAAACACCACCGCCAGAGCCAGTCCATCTGCAGCGATGCCTTCCTGGGAGATGGGATGACGGGCACCCTGAGCCTTGTCAGGAAGCTCGGGGTAAACGCCAGGTGGAGGCCAGGAGAGTGTCACCGCCGACCTCTGGGTGAGTGTGGGCCGTGGACACTCAGTCAGCCCCTGCACCAAGACGCGGTATGGCCGCCGGCCTGTTGCCTCTGCTTCCTGGGCCTCAGTTTCCCCATCTGGAAAACTGAGGGTAACCAGCTCACCATGTGATTCGTGTACACACACCCTGCCACAGTCTCCATTCTCTATTTTCAAAACGGGTTCGTTGCACGCACCCAGCTTTATCAGAAGTAGGGCAAGCGGGAATCCTCCATCTGGCCATGACCTTGAAGACTTTAAATAAAGCCCCCATCACTTGATTGTGCGTGGTTTGGAGCCACAGCTTTCCTGTCAGTAAGGTGCAGGGGACGAGGTGGAGGGTTGGACCAGATGATGACTATTTTCCTTTTACTCAGATATTCTTGTGATTCCAAGAAACCTACCTTTCTTTCTCTATTTCAATAGAAATTAACAGCTCGCAGGAGGTTTGTCAGATCCTTGAGAGTCTGAGAAGAGGATGTCAGGCGATGGCTCCAGGATGGGGGGCTGGGGGATGTGATGAGAGGAACAGAGGGAAAGGAAACACTTCCCAGAGCAGGAGCCAGGACCACAGAACCGCACGCAGGACACCGGGAGTTGGGGTGTCTTAGGGGAAAGAAGGAGAGGATTTGTGACGCCAAGGCTCCATGAGATGGACATGGTCTCGCCCTCTCTGAGGTGGCTCCGCCCTCTGTGTCTTTGCTCATGCTCCCCTCCTTCTGCTTCTGGTGGAAGCCCCACTCACCCATCAAGGCTTAACTTAGAGATGTCCCTAGCGGTCCAGTGGTTAAGACTCCATGCTCCCAATGCAGGGGGCAGGGGTTTGATCCCTGGTTGGGGAACTTAAGATCCCACATGCTGTGAGGGACAGGCAAACAATAACAACAACAAAAACCCCTGACTTAGTGCTCATTTCCTGTAGCCCAGCGTTGGCACACTGCTAATGGTAAGGGCCACGAATAAGCAGTTTTGACTAAGGCCACGTGACCTCCATCACAGCTCTTCAACGGTATCCTTGTAGCTCTAGACCTGACAGAGATGACCTGTGAGCTAGGGGTGTGGTGTGGCTCTACTCCTAAAAGAATTGATTTGAAAAGTGTTATTCTTCCTTTGACTTTAAAAAAAAAAAATCATTTTAAAACGCAGAGACTGTTCTTAACTCGGGGACTGTATAAATACAGGCAAGGGGCCATCATTTGCCAGTCCTGCTCTGGCCTCTTGCTATGCAAAATGCAGTTCATGGACCAGCAGTGTCAGCCTCACCCGAGAGCGTGGTGCAAATGCAGAATTTTAGGGACCACCCAGAGTGACTGATCTGAAATCTGTATTTCAGCAAAAATCTCTGGATGACCTCTGTGCACTTTAAAACAAATACTGATGCCTGATTGTCACCCAGGATTGGGCTATAACAGGTGTGGTTTAAAACAAATACTGATGCCTGATTGTCACCCGGGATTGGGCTATAACAGGTGTGGTTGCAGCTTGGACACTGGGACCTTGTAAAGCTCCCTGGCAGATTCTGATGTGTCCCAGGAAGATCCCCAGGGAGAGAGGGCTGCCCCCACCACACCTGGCTCCCAAAGACCCCTGGTCACTCCTCCTTGACAAAATTCGTCACCGTGTGAGCCCAGGCCATGCCCTGAGCGCCACCAGGACCAAGACTCCATGCAATCTTAACAGACACAGGAGCTCAGACAAGATGCCTGCCCTCTCAGGAGTCAGTCTCCTCCTTAGGATGGATGAGATGGGCTCTGAGTGCTTTTGTAGCCATGAAGACACTCTCCCTTGGGAACTCCAATGGTTAGGACTTGGCGCTTTCACTGCCAGATGCCCAGGTTTAATCCTAGGTGGGGGACCTAAGAGGCACCCCCCAGCTGGCTCAGCAGTAAAGAATCTACTTGCAATACAGGAGACAGAGGTGACGCGGGTTTGATCCCTCGGTTGGGAAGATCCCAAAAGGAAGAAATGGCAACCCACTCCAGCATTCTGGCCTGGAAAACTTCATGGACAGGGGAGCCTTGGAGACTAAGAGCCCACAGGTTTGCAAAGAGTCGGATGCAACTGAGCACGCACCCTCAGGGAACTAAGATCCTGCAAGCCATGGCCAAAAAAAAAAAAAAAAAAAAACCCAAAACAAAACCACTGTCCCTTGACCCCAGAGAAATAGTAGGGAAGACACTCCTGGCCTCTCTCCAACCCCCAGCTTCTCCCTGGCTTGGGGCTCAGAGTCCTCAGACTGGCCCAGGCTCGGGGCTTCCCAAGGACTCTGGGGGCAGCGGGGACAAAAAGAGGCAACCTCACCCCACTCAGTCCCATTTGTCACATTCAGCAGGCCCCACTGAGCCCCAAGGATGGCCAACAATCCCCTCTTTCCAACCCCCTGCCCTCCCTCCCACTGAGTCCCACAACCCCAGGCCCATCTCCTTCCTCTGCCTTCCATGGTCCCCTGACCCAGGATTTCCCTGGAGAAGAGGGTGAGGGAGGGGTGCACCAGGCTGGCTCAGGGCCCCGCACCCCACAGGCATGGCTCTGAGTCTCTCCTCCCTGCAAGGCCCCTACCGCATGGAGCCTCCCACCTCTTGGAGCCCCCAGCCCAATACGTGCGCAGCCCTAGACTTCTGAATCCTGGAAGAGGCCCCGAGAACACATCCCTTTTCACACATACGGGAGACCAAATCTCAGAGGAGGAGGGACTCACTCCCAGGACAGTGAAGACCAGAGACCCCCCTTTCCCCCCTCCCCTCCTACCTCCCCTTCCCCTCCCCCATACCTCCCCTCCCCCCAGAGGGCTTCTCCCTCTGCACCAGTTGCCCCAGGCGGGGAAGGAAGAATGGGGCGCTGAGGTTTGTGGGAGATGGACAGCCAGAGGGGTCTGCTGGAACCACCTCCGTGCCAAGGAGCCTGCTTTTTGACCGAAGACAGTGTGACAGGGCCCTGCTTCCTCCCTTCCCCTGTTGGCATGACCTCTCGGCCCCGTGGAGGCCAGAGTGGGCAGCTGTGGCCCTCACACACCTCCCAGCACACAGTAATGGAAATGCCTGCCATTTACTGAGCAGCTACTATGTGCCAGGCACTGTGCTTAAGCACTGTGACCTTGAGGTAGTGCTTCCATTTAATAAGTGATCAGAATGAGGATCAGAGAGGTTAATCAGCCGGACGAAGGTCACACAGCAAGGAAGGGAGTGGTAGGGGAGGGATGGTAGAAAATAGTATTGAGACCAGGCATCTCAAGAGATTTGAAACTAGAAGGCATCTCAGAGATTTCCTCCTCAGTGCCTGGAATTCAAACTCAGGTCTGTCTGTGTCTGTTTCCCGGGGGCTCTCAGACCAGGTTGGCAGCAGGCCGCAGGGGCTGTGTTCATGTCTGTCCCTGCAGCTGATCCCTCAGAGGTACTGGTTCCAGGAGAGAGGATGAGCTGGAGGACAGATACGGCCACACCGAGGAGGCTCAGCTGCCCTCCCGGGCTGCGGCTGTCTTTTGTCCCAAGACCTCCTCACATCACAGTGAATGCATGCACTTTGGGTTCAGCAGTCCTGGGACTGAATTCTTGCTCTGCGTACCCCTGGAACTGAGTTTCTCCTTCTGTGCAGTGGGAGTACCTAGCTAACAGCGCTGCCAGAAGCAATGGAAAGAAGTTGTGAAGAGGGCCTCACACAAGTGATAAAGAAACAGTAACCACACTGTTTGGTGTCTCCCCTTCTGTGAATTCTCCCTCTCCTGGGAGCAAGCTTTTCCTCAGAAGGAAACAGAAGGCACAGAACCTCCTGGAATGTGACAAGGCTCCTTGGGCTGAACCCTGAGTATTAGCCCTTCTTTAATTAGCCCTCAACTAAAAATAACGCCCCCCCCCCACCCTGCCACCCTGGGCTGTGTACCTACTTCCCAGGTGGGGCTGAACTTATGAATCTGGGAGTTGAAAGGGGAGTGCAGGGTCGGGGAGCAGGGAGCAGCCAGCCTGTGAGACAGAACCTAGAAGACAGGCGGGTGCAGAGAGCCGGAGGCTTTATTGAAGGAGATACAGAACCGGGTGAGGGCTCCTGCCATCAGCCAGACCATGGCCTCCATCACCCTCACACCATCAGGGACTCCTGGACACCCGTCCGTCTCCCTCCCCTGCCCCTGGACAACACAAAGGGAATCTTACCCCAGACTCATCAGAGGTGCCCAAGAGGGCCTCCAGAGTTCTGTTCAGGAGAGGGTTGGGGCGGGGGGACAAAGGACAGCCCCTCCCGGGCAGTCATGGACAGTCCCGTCACACCGGTCCATCCATCTCTCCACTGGCCGGCCTGTTTGTGCCCGGGTCGGCCCCCATCACTTGCAGCTCTGGAGCCGGGTCCTATGGTGCTTCTCCTCGGTCAGCAGCGGGATGAAGGTGTCGCTGTGGGACAGCTTCAGCCGGCTGCTCCAGCTCGGGCCCTCCTTCCCGGCGGGCTCCGGCGGCGGGAGGTGGTCCAGGTCGCCGCGGGAGCCCCCTGCCTTGCCCTCCCCGGAAGTGCCGGAGTTGAGCTCCATCAGCTCCAGCTCGTGCCTGGCCGCCGTCTCCAGGACTCGCTGCTTGTTGTAGTATCTGACAAAGTTGTTGATGATGGGATGAATGGGCAGGGCAATGGCAATGACCCCACACAGGAAGCTGATGGCCGCATTGAGCTTGCCCAGGGTGGTCTTGGGGTAGATGTCACCGTAGCCCACCGTGGTCATGGTGATGATGGCCCACCAGAAGGACTGGGGGATGCTCTTAAACAGGGTCTCCGGGTGGCTCTGCTCCATGGTGTAGCCCAGGGCGGAGAAGACGAAGATGCCCACGGCCAGGTACATGAGCAGCAGCCCCAGTTCCTTGAAGCTGCGCTTGAGGGCGTAAGTGAGGGTCTGCAGCCCGGAGGAGTGGCGCGCCAGCTTGAAGATGCGGGCGATGCGCATGATCCGCAGGGCCTGCACCGCCTGCTGCACGTTGGTCAGCTCCATCATGCGGGCGCCCAGGTGCGTGAGCGTGAGGCTCACGTAGAACGGGAGGATGGCCAGCACATCCACGATGTTCATGAAGGACAGGGCGAAGTGCAGCTTGTTGGGCGAAGAGAAGAGACGCAGCAGGTACTCCAGCGTGAACCAGCCGATGCACGCCGTCTCCACGTTCTCCAGCGTCGGGTGCTCCACGCGGTTGCCCTCGGCGTCCAGGACCTGCAGCTCTGGGATGGTGCCCATGCACATGACCACCGACGAGACGAGGATGAGCAGGAAGGACAGCACGGCCACCACGCGCGCCGGACACGAAGACTCGGGCTTCTCCAGGAACTTCCAGACGCACTTCTGGCAGCGGCGCCAGCGGCCCTCGGCCGTGTCCACGCCCAGGTCGTCCAGGATGAGCTGCACGCGGCGCGCGATCTCCTCCAGCTCCTCGCGCTTCTCGCTCAGGTGGCTCTTGCAGCAGTCGTCCAGGAACTTGAGGTCCACTTTCCAGAAGTCCATCTCGCTCTTGAAGCAGATGGGACAGATGCCCTTCTTCATGTGCACCTCTCCGAAGTAGTAGACCTCAATGACACATTTGAAGGCGTCCGGGTCCCTGTCGAAGTAGAACTCGCGCTTCCCGGGGTCGTAGTCGTCGCACAGGGAGAAGATGGTGTCGTAGCCCCCGGCCAAGCAGTGGATGAGCTCGGCCAGCCGGGTTTCGGGGTACCGGCTCAGGAGGTCTCCGTACAGCACCTGCCGCACGCCCCCAACGTTGACCACGATCTCGATGTCGTCGCCCGCCCGGGAGTCCTGGCTGCCCGGCTCCGGGAGGCTGCGCTCCCCGGTCCCGTCCATTCTCCTGGCGTGTGCCCGCGCGGCCTCGGCTCCGCGCCCTGCAGCCGCCGCAGGGTCGGCGGGTCCCACCGGTACGCGGACCCCGGGGAAGACTGGCCGGCGTCCGCCTGCCTGGAAGCGCGGTCACAACCGGCGGCTGCGGGCTGGGGCGCGCCGCGGGGGAGGCATGCACCCGGCGGCGGGGGTCCCGGTGGGCATCCGGGCGCTGGAGGCGCGCCGGCGGTGCGGGGCGGTGGGGGGCGGGGGGAGGTTCTCGCGGCCACCTGCCTCGCCCCGAGCACTCACCCCGGCTCCCTGGTGCTGCGATGCGCCGCTTCGGCTCGGCCTCTTGCAGCAGTGGGATCCCCCTTAGTGGGCGGCAGGCAGGGTCCTGGGTCTCCAGGCGCGCGGGTCCCCGCGTGCGCCCTCCGCGCGAGACGTGTCCCGTCGCTGCCGGACCCACACCGCCCGCCGAGGTGTGCGGAGAGAGAACTTGGGCTTGCTTTGCCCAAGCCGTTTCTAAACACAATAGGAATTCCAGCCTGACGTCAAGAGCTTTTCAGACTGTACCCTCTTCTGGTGAAATTCTGCAAGGCACGCGCGGCAGCGGCAGGGGAACGGGTTAACCCTTGGGCAGACGGGCACAGCTGCGCGCCCGCCGCCACCGCCGCGCTCCTGTCCTCCCCTCCTGGCGCCGCGGGTAACCCGGTAGCCTGGACCTTCGGCTTGAAAGCGACAGGCCGGCGCTGGCTGAAAAGTTTCTCTCTTTCTCTGCATCAATAAGATCGATGGTGAGAGAAAACAGCCGCCTGTTGCTCGGCCCGCAAACCGTGCCCAAGAGAGCCCTTCAGACACCCTCCCGCGCGTCCCGGGCGCCGGTCCCGCGATGCGGGCGTCACTTACGACCTTCATCCGAGTGCTGTACAACGGCGACAGCCAGTCCAGCCCCGTGGAGGAGAAAAGGGACCTGCCCAAGGTCACACAGTGAAATGGGAATGGAATCCAAGGTGGGCGCCTCTTCCTCCAGAGATTTCCTGCTGTCCTGGCTGACTGACACACACTCCTTAGCGGACTGAAAGTCTGCTTCGAAGTTCTCGCTGTCCACCACTTCACATTTCTTTGCAATCCAACATCACCACCAAGCTCCAGAGCCTTGAACCCCCAGACTCCCACCTCCCCATCCCCATCCTCTGTCACCCAGGCCTGCATGTCCCTCCCACGAAAGGTCCCACACCCTCCCCTCTCTTTGAGACTTGCAGCCTCTGCCTGCACCATTCCAGCAGCAGCAGCATCTACTCTGCAAATTTTCAAGCATCACCTGTAAACCGGGGACTGTGTTAACAAAAATATTGTAAAGAGAGGGAAGAGGAGGCAGAGCACAGGGAATTTTTAGGGCAGTGAAACTACTCTGTATAACACTCTAGCGCTGGGTACATGTCATCCTATGTTTGTTTAAACTGTGGAGTGTGCCACACCAAGAGTGGACATCAGCGTAAACTATGGACTTTGCATGATAAAGATGTGACAGTGTTGTTTCATTGATGTAACAGATGTACCTCTGGTGGGAGAGGCTGAAGGAATGAGGGGGCAGGGAGTATGTGGGAACTCTCTGTCTTACTGTTTACTTTTGCTATGAACCTAAAACTGTTCTTTAAAAATCTATTAAAAATATATTCTGTAGGCTGGGTCACTGACAGTACTTTTTTCTTCTTCTTTAATAAGATCATGTAAAACTGAATATGTTAAAATACATCACAAGATAGTTTGGTGAAACTTCTTTTTACAGATTTTATTTTGTTTCCATTTAAAATCAACCTATGATGTGTTACTACAGAATAAGAAACTGAGATTCAGAAAGGTTGAGTAAAAATAACAGTTATTATAAATGCATCATGAGCCAAGCACTTGCATCTCCATAGCATCCCTCTGAGGATGCAAGATGTCAGGTAACCTGCCTGAAGTGCTCAGCCAGAAGGTGGCGAAGTTGCGATGGGAATCCTGGGAGCCTGCTGCCCCAGCCCACAGGCTTCGCCTCCCTGTCCAGGTTGCTCGGCTGCAGCCGGGAGCTGGGATTTGACCCCACGCCGGTTCTTCTCTCTGATGTAGTGCGGCACACGCCTCCTGCACACGCCCCATGTCCATCTTCCAGGCCTTACTCATCTTATTTCCCTTTTCTGTTGTCTTCTCTCACACCCTAGTACCTCCAGGGTCAAGTTCAAATTGCATCTTAGCCTAGCTTAATGGGCTATTCAAATATTTATTAACGTTTAATCACACACACACACATACACACAACACACACCTACCCTGATGGGGGGCAGGGTTCATATTCCAGTGGAGAATATATTTTTGAATAACTAATAATCAGTTTGCCCTCATCACAGGCTTCCCAGTGGCTCAGTAGGTAAAGAATTTGCCTGCAATGCAGGAGACGTGGGTTTGGTCCCTGGTTTGGGAAGATCCCCTGGAGAAGGGTACAGCAACCCACTCCAGTATTCTTGCCTGGGAAGTCCCATGGACAGAGGAGCCTGGTGGGCTACATTCCATGGGGTCGCACAGAGTCCGACATGACAAGTGACTGAGCAGGCATGCAGGCAGCCGTTTACCAGAGGTACATGAAAGGAGTGGTGGTTCCTGAATTTACCTGCCTGGGGCATCAGGTGGTGGTTGTGGGTTTGGAAGGCTGAGAAAAGGTTAGAAGATGAAGAGACTGCATTTGCTTAGAAGCACAGCAATTTTTGGCTAAGGTGTGCATTTGGGGTGTGTGATGGGGACCCCTCAAACAGGCTGAACCACCCCCCGGCCACCCCTTGATATGGTCATGAAGTCCAAGGTGCTACAGGAGCCCAGGAGTCCACAGACAGCTCCAAGGCTCACCAGAGTTGGAGGCTGGGCAGGTGCTGGCACTGAGCCTTGAGTATGAGGGCCTCACCTGGGTGACCTACCTCACCCTGGGGAGAGAAGCCTGTGCGGAGGAAGGCACGTGGCTGGTAGCCCCAAGAAACTGATGGATGAGGCTAGAAACAGGCTGCACAGAACCTCATGGGTCCTGCAAGAAGTATGGACGATAAGCCAATTTTTCAGACCTTGGGTAGTTGATTGGTTGTGCAATCAATTTATTGAGTACTGACCATCATTTTTATCGAGATAGTATGGAACAGGAAACGTCAGAGTGCATCAGACATGGTAAAAATAAGTATGGCTTAAATTCTAGAGAGTAACCAGAGGCTGACTGCATGTGGTCCATTCAGCACATCTTAGGGCCCTACAGGGAAGAAAGCTGGTCCTGAAAGAAAGCAGGAAAGGAGGAGGAGACAGATGCAAAATACAGCTGAGAAAATGTCCCCAAACAGCCCAGAGGAGAGCAGGGGTCTGCTGACAACGGGACATGAGAGAGATACAGCGGTAAATCACAGGTCAAGACAAGTTGGAGGGGTGGTAACCAAAGAAAAGCAGGGAGGGAGACTCCTGCAGAAGACAGGAGACCAGGCTGGAGCCAGAGGCAGAGAGAGAGGGGGAGGAGCCAGCATCTCTGAGTGAGGGGAGCTGGCTGGCGCTCACTGGCCCCTCCAAATCTGCCTGCCCTGTGCCTCAAACTCCTAGACTCCTTCTCAGACCCTCGGAAGCCTCGGAGCCTTGGTGACTGACCTGCCCAAGCCCCAGACGCCCCTCCTCTTTCATCCCTCCAAGCGTCACATATCCTCCCAGGGCCATCTCCACTCACCTGGCCAGAGCAGCATGTAGAGGTCAGGTCTGGAATTCCTTTTTGTCCAGTGTTCCCCCAGGCCCACACTGCCTTCTCTGCATGGACCGAATCATGGTCAAGGGCAAAAGTCATGGGCTAAAGCCATAACCCCCAGTGAGACTGTATTTGGACACTGGGATTTTAAGATGATGATTAGGGTTACAGGAAGTGAAGCCTTGGACTTCCCTGGTGGTCCAGTGGTTAAGAATCTGCCTCCCAATGCAAGGAATGCTGGATTGATCCCTGGCTGGGGAAGTAAGATCCCACCTGCCTAGGGGCAACTAAGCCCACACACTGCATCTAGAGAAAGCTTGCGAACCAAAACAAAGAGCCCATGGGACCCTCATCTAGTGGGATTGCTGTCCTTATAAAAAGAACCACCAGAGACCTCTGTCTCTCTCTCCACACACTCAGAGGAAAGACCAGGTGAAGATGCAGCAAGAAGGCGGCCATCCACAATCCAGGAAGAGCAGCCTCACCAGGAACCTTGGAAGACTTTGATCTTGGATCTCCAGCTGCCAGGAGTATTTGTTATGGCAGCTGGAGCAGACTAAGTCCTCTTCCTCCCTCATACCTGCCAAGTCTTCCCTAGACGCCCCCCTCCTCCAAAGTTCTGGCCACAACCCTTCATCCTCTGACCCTCAGGCCCTGACTGGATTCCATGGCAGCTTAGACTGGAATACCATAGGTTTAAATATATATATATTTGTGCCTTTTCACTGAAGTTCACTGATGCATAGAAATTTGAGCTAGGAGCTCAGATTCCTGAAGGGGACTAAAGTCTGGACTTTTTGGCTAAAAATGGAAAGTTTCTTGCTGTCTTTATTCAGTCTTGCATAGGACTTCTATTAGAACTGAACATTTCATAATATCATGGAGTGGGGAGGGGATTGGGGGAGAACAAAGCCTTCTATTACACACAAGATAAAGAAGCAATTTGACTCATGTGGGCTTTTAATTAAATAGGGTAGGGGAAAAAACACAGAGTCTATTTAGGCATTATGGAGGGTAATTGTTTGAATTGTATTTTTTTATTGAATATATATTTTTTTATTTGTTGAACAATAACATTTCAGGCTACAGAACGCTTAATTTCCATGGTGCTAATTAAAACCAGCACATGTGTATCTAAGTGATTTGTCTAGACAACAGACCAGGCAAGCTGCGATCTATTCTTTTTTATGGAATAATCAGTTCTCTTCAGTTAAGATTTCTTTGTGTGTTGCTGAATTTAATAATGTGTTTCATTAAAATTCAGTTCTGTACTCCATCAAAAATTTGCATTTCATTATTGCTGAGCACCCATCAGCCTGCAAGCTGCCCCCTGGGGCCGAAGAGTTGATTGACCAGAAGGCTCAGGCCTCCTCCTCCTGTCTAAATAAACTGTGCCTGGAAGTCGAGTGCAGGAGGTCAGCCTGGTGGGAGTGAGTATTGGATGGAGAAGTAGGTAGAAAACATAACAATTTAAAATGGATTCATCAGGAAACTTCTTTTTTTTTTTTTTTGCCCCAGCTCCTGAGCTTCCTTTTTCTTTTCTATGGCTCAGTTTTTCCATCTCAAAATGGAAGTAGTGACCTTTCCTTTCTGAGTAAAAGATCTCATATGGAACAGGACTTCCCTGGTAGTCCAATGGCTAAGAGTTTGAACTCCCAGTGCAGGGGGCCCAGGTTCCATCCCTGATCAGGGAATTAAATCTCCCATGCTGCAAAGAAGATCTTGCATGCTGTGAGTAAGACCTAGTGCAGCCAAATAAGTATTTTAGGAAAAGATCTCACAAGGAACAAATAAAATAATCGGCGTGAATAACCTTTATGAATGATAAGATGCTGAAAATGTGAAGGCAAAGGGAGGAGGGAACAGGGA